GAGAAACAGAATTAAATGACAATGATGCACAGAATGGCCTCCTTTTATTTGCATTACATTGTGAAAGCAAGCAGATTATGAATTACAACAAGTACCTCATTTGTTTTAATGACAGAAAGCATCATTTGGGAATATTTGGATGCCTTGAATTATTTTTTGTTATCGAAATACTGCAGCTAGGGATAGCATGAACACTAGTGCTAAACTGCTAAACAAAGTTTACTCAGCTTGTAAGGCCGTATCACTTTGTGCTTAGTGAATGTGTACACATCACAGAATTGCAAAAATATGTAAGAAGGATTTTTTCACATGGACAGTGTTTTAATTGAAAGAAATTATGTTTAAATTAAGAAATTAAATTAAGGTAAGTTGGCACCAAAGCAATTATGTACGGCCATGTTTAGCACTGCTTTTCTGTAAAAAAAGAGCACATCTTTTCAGTCAGAAAGGCAAATTCCAAAATAATGTACAAACGTTGTGAAAAAATATTATAATAATGGAAGGTTGGACATATACTTGCACATGCACTGTGCTGGTGTACCACTATTTAAAATACTCCAGTGTAGTCATTTTTATGGCTATAAAAAGAAACGTGTTTCCCAGGAGATGGGAATCCTGCCAGAGCAATTTCATTACTTTAAAGAAACTCCCTTAATGGTGATGAAGATTTAAAAAGTCAGGTATTTCATACCCTTAGGGATCATTTTGTCCAAATTCCTTTTTCATCCTTATTCAGTACAGGTTTCTGTTTCAAGTAATTCTTTTAAGTAATGGACAAAAGCAGAATATCTTTTCAATACAAATTGTTCACTCTAATATTATTTACCAAAGAAAATGTACTTTTCAGTTTTACTCAGAAATATTGGTAAAATGTCTCAATGTGAAGTTAAGATAGAATTATTAGGTTATAAAACAATATTTATCTTTTTTCTAGTTGCAGTCTTTTTGAATGATTGAATATTTAAAATATTAATATGAAAATGAAAAAGGGAATAAAATACAGAACAGTATAATAACATGCAAAAAATGAGTCATTTTTGAAGCTTCACATTTTTGGTGTTGGATATTTTTATGATTCTCAAATATTTTTTTCAGAGAAAATACATTCAGTTGTTTCAGTATTTATAAATTAAACAGCATGAGTGCAGTCAGTCTAACAGCAGAGGGATGCCTGATGCATCACTGCATTGGAAAATGAAGAAAAAAACTTAGCCAAGGCTTAAATCCAAATAAGGTGGCTGTTTGTGGTTGGTTATAACCACACATACATCATCATCATTGTTGTTATTATTATTATTGATTGTTTTTGTTATTAATAATATTTGATCCTTTTAGGTTATTTATTTTTTTATTTTTCTTTGGTCTTCAAGAAAAGGGAAAAAGAAAAATCTAAGGATGTCTCTGTTCTAGCAGCTCAGATCCTGTTTTCACTTATTTCAAGTTCTGTCAATTACCCCTCTCTCATACCAGTCCTGTGTCAGCACCCTGGGGCGCTATTCTAATGAGGGTGCAGTGTACAGAACTGAGGGACAGCAGTGCACTCCTCTGAAAATCAGCCACTCACCTGCCTTCCCTCTCTCCCTGCCCCCCAGTTCTTTCTGAGAGACACAGAGAGGAGGCTCTTTTATGACTGGAAATTGTTATTTTTAATAGTATCAGACTGCTGGTGGTTAAATATAATTAAAAATTATATAATTATTACATAGGAACAAGTAATAGGTTTATTCCATGCTGAAAAGAGAAGAAAGGAAAAACAACATTTCGGCTGTGGAGCCTTCTTCGTGTGTCATAATTATTACATAGTTGAATCTGGAAATGTGAGCATTCAGTTCTCATAATTCTTGTTTTTTCCATTCTATTTTCACTTATGGAATTATATTAAAGATGGATACCTTATACTGTGTGCGCTACGATTAGAATTTCCCCAGAATCAAAGGTTTTGATTTTCTTCTTATTTTCCATGAGACCTTCTGTGACTTTACTGTCTAGTATTTTTTGGTCCAACCATTATTTGTTCTTATGCTCACTGCCATTTTGGTTTCTTTAGTGCTGCAATGAAGTTTGTAACCTACAGTTACATTTTAATTTTGGGGAGGGGATCTTCTCTTAGAGCATACACTTCTTCCAGTTGTCTAGGCTTCATGCTACAGGTTACAATAAATTATATTTAGATAGTAATATCTAAAATACTTGCAAAACTATGTCTAAACAATCACTTGTTTCCAGTGTCCTGTTCATAGAATGTTGTTGCAGAACTCATGTCTTTTACATTCATAAAACATACATAGTTTCACAAATTCAGTATTAGCATTTAGTTATTTCTAAAGCTATAAAGTTGTTTCAGTGTAAAACGTTTTCAGATCATTTATTGACTTTTCTTTGCCAGGTAATACATTCTTTAAATGTAGGCTGTGTAGCAAAATACAATATCAAACGTGCCTTTTATGTGTTTTGAAATTGAAGAGTTCTGACACTAATAGTATTAGTATTGATTGCTTGATATATGAAAATAATGACAAAATTGCTGCAGTTTTAAGAAAAGCCTATTTCCAAAGTTTCTTTTTTTCTAAATTAGTTATGCTTAGACTCCACATGAATATATAAACCAATCATTTGCTGTGTCTTGAGAAACATGATTGGAAGAAGGAATATTTTAGCACAGATTAAGGATAGGAGTGTTAAAATCATCTGGTGTTGGAACTGTTGAGAATGTATTGTTTCATTACTTACAGACATTATCAGGTTTTTCTGAGATTTCAGTCTTATTTCATATCACACCTGCATTGGTCGCCTGTTAAATGCAGAATGATTTTACAGTTGTAACACTGTATAAACCTCATTAATGGTCTAGCTCGAGCTATATGCCTGAACAGTTACAAGAGAATATTCTCCATGTGTACCTTCCCTTTATGAATACACATCTGTTGTCAGAACCTAGGCCTAAGTTTCTTTCTGCGGGAGATAGAACATTTTGCTCATTGCATTCAGATTATGGAACATACTCCCATAGATATTTGAGGAATCAAAACCTATTGATATTTTTTGTTGATGTTGGCCAAAAAACAGCTTCCATGTCCTGGCATTTTATTATAGTTAGAATGTATATCATTTTTCATGTTACATTATAATAGCATATTATAATATAAAATAATATTATGTTATTTTATACAATAAGGTCAATATGAATATCAGCTCAAGATAATTCCTTTTATCTTCAGCTAGATAAATTTAACAAGTTAACATTAATTGCATCTGTAACAATTATTTTTTTTGTTTTACATATAAGGTTTGTTTTTTTCCCTGATCAGTTCATGTCCCCAGCCAAACTGCCATGGTTCTCAGTGCACCATCACTGAAATCTTGTCCTAACTCCCTTCTGTGCTGTGCCTTCTGTATTCCTGCACAGAAAATATCTTGAAAGAGCGTGAAAAGAGTTGGCCTTACCTTTCTGACTTGACAGTGAGATGCCATGTCTTTTAGCCTCGGTTACTAGTTTCCCAGACTTTATGACGGCCTTTTCTCATGATACCACATGAAATTTGGTGTCATAGTTCTGAAGGGATGTCTCCGTTTCAATTGAACTATTTACTGGTTAACTTTGTTGTTTCATTGCAATGGATAATTTTCCTCTCACTCCCACAAATGCCTTGTCCATGAAATAAATTGTTCATTTTTAATGAGAAAAAGACCTTTAAAATGGCTACAGTTAACTGTAAGAAGAAATATATTCTCTGAAAATCTAGGGAAGGCTTACTGGGACCACAGCAATGAAGACTTCTCTTTCTAAATAAATAAGTAAAGGTCAGCTGCACCTCCACAGTGAGCTTTAATTAGAACTTTGTACTCCTGAGTTCTCTCAGACAGCAGTCTGGGTCATTGACAAGCAGTTATATCTGACCTTTAGCAGAAATGTATTAGGTGCTTGTCAAGTATGTGTGCAAGGAGAAGGAGTGAGAGGCAAACTAAAGAGGATGCTATATACAGCTGTTGTGTATTATGTATGGCTTTCTGTTCAAGTATACATTGAATAATAATAAACTAATATATTATAAGAAGTTTTTATTATTAGCATTAATATGTAATATTAGAAACTTGTGAAATTAGAATGATCAATGGTAATCAAAAGGTAATAGTGGTGTTTATATTGGAAATTATTGGCCATAATTTAAAACCTGGTGAGAATATTTCATGTATAGTTACTCTCAAGTAGTAATTTTTCTTTCAGTATTCCCAAACCCACATTTTTTATTCCCATGTCTGCTTCCTCAAAGACATCATCCATGTGTTGTTACTATGTAATCCTATAAACCCAAAATTACAACCTCTTGTTGGTGTTGGAATGCATTCAAAAGATGAACTCCTCTGACAAGCTCCGTATTTTCAGATGTCTTTTTTAAGAAAAGTCACATTAATTGCTTTGCTTAAGTGTTGTATTCCAAAGTGACATTTCTGTTAGGTTAGCTTGTAATCTTTATAAAACATCCCTTCTATCCCTTGTGGACGATCCTGTCTTGGCATGGATTCTTGAGGACTTCTGCAGATTGGTGTTTTCAGACACCACAATAAACTTAAATGGAGCACTGTTGTTGACTCAGTACCAAAAATAAACACTTTAAAAAGGTAGCATGAAAGCTAAAATATACATGAAAGCACTTTTCTTCCAAACCATCTTTACTTTTCTTAAGTCCATAGAAAGAAAAGAAGCAGTCGCTCCTCTTGGGATTCTGCAACTAAATCTTCAATTCTTTCTCACTCCTTTTTTGAACAAATAAATCAGTTTATTTTTATAGTGAATGGTGACAGTCTCAGGTGGTCAGTGAAGAAGACACAGAAGCTTAGTTTATCAGAGAGACTGATAAAACAGCAGAAGACTCTTGACATTCATCCCAGATTTAGGCAAAAATGTCTTAAGTGAAAATTTACTTTACCTTTCTAAAGCTTTACTGGGTATATTTATATATGGAGAGATTTCAATTATATAACCATTTTTTTGTCTTCAGATCCCAAACCTTGCCGATGGAGTGCGAATTCATGGAGAAAAGGTGACAGAAGCTCTGAGGCCCTTCCATGAGCGACTGGAGGCTTGTTTTAAGCAGCTGAAAGAGAAAGTGGAAAAGCAGTATGGGGTCAGGATACTGGTACGTTCATCTACAGGCTGCTCTCATTCTCCAGTAGCTCAAGCAGCACGTGAATGGACTGGCAATCTATTGTCTTGCTGGAATTGTGATTGCTGTATAAGGGAAAGAAAATGCAGTGGATTATGCAGATCTCCCTGAGCATCATTGGGGGGAGGGTTTCCTTGCCTTCAGAGGCTGAGCCAGAGCATGGTGTTCAGCAGCACTTTAGAGATGAAGCATCTTTACTACTAAGTGACTCAGAGACATTGATTCTCTCTGAGCTGTAAAGATCTCACTGCATTTTCTTGGCAAACACTGAATATCCTCGTATAGCTCAAAATGTTACGTTCTCTGTCTCAGTCAATTTCCCAACATAATCTTAGAAATATGGATCTCCATGATCTGGTGGGGGGATTGCTTTCAGTAGAGATGTGTGGTTTGATTGTTATTTTTAGATAACAAAATTAAACAGCAGAATGAAGGAAAGATCCTGGCACAGCTCTTTATGTGACTGCCAACTTTACTTGTATTCTTAATTATTTATAGCAGCTATCTTAATTAAAACAATGAGATTTCAGAAGGCTGAAATGATCAAATGACAGATTAATTAACATATTAATACAGTTCTTTGAAATCTGCACCAAACTCCTTTTATATTGGCATCACATTTTTTCAAGGTTTTAAGATTTTATGACTTAATCACAAACTTGTACAATTGCATAATTCTCTTAGGCACCCTCTTCCATCAGTGCTCTGTTGTGCCTAACAACAAATTAGCCTTCCATTTTTTTTCCTTTAGTCGCATTGATTTTGTTAAAGTTCAGCTGCTAGACTTCTGGGAAAGGCCAGTGAAGATGATGATGAAGATAAAACTTCCTGTAAAAAATGTCCTCCTTTTATGAGCTAGCATGCCCTTGTAGTATTTTCAGGCTGTTTTTTCCATTGTTGCTAAAAGCTTTGGAATTACTATAAAGAAAAGATAGTAGCCACTGAAATCTGTAAAGAACATGCTATGTCTGGACTCATGTTACTAGGCTTTTACTGAACACTGATTCCTTTAAAGGCCCTTGAATCAGAAAGCTTTTCTTAACAGACATTAAAAGACCACCTACTGGGTGCTATGTTAGTAATTTTCTTTTTTCATTGCACCATGTAGCATCATCCACAGAACCTCCAATCTTTCAAGTCTTTTAAGATTCCAGCATCATGTGAGCATGGTACAAAAGTAATCAGAATTTGACACTTAACGTTATCTATTTTCTATATAGGAATGATAAACTGGCTTATATACTATATACGAGCTGATATTTTTGCTGCACAAAATCATTTAGACACTGAATTTGAAAATGTTGTCCTGTTGCCATTTTTGCTGTGTCTTTTGAAGACAATTTCTATTGGCTGTTAAAGCAAAAAAGACAGTTTTGCAGTTCATATTTGTACATCTGTGAACTATGCCTACTTGTCTTATACCTGCCACATTTTCATCAACCTACAGTATAACTCAGGACTCCATGATCTTGGTCCTAAAGGACCAGAATTTTTACAGGTTTTCAGTCCAGCTGAGCTCTTAACAGCCTGAATCAGCTTGTTATTGGCTTAATTGGCCCAATTTACCAGCGTTTGTCAACTTTTCAGGTCCTCTTGATTTAAAGAGACATAGAAAACATACAGACACATCTGCCCTCCAGGACCAGAATTGGGCAAGCTTGGTATAACTGAAAAAGCATGAATGTAGACCACAATTCTTTCATTAATGGCCAGATGGCTGATTTTTATTTTCCAGATTTCTTTAAAGTAAAAAACTATTGTGCTGTGCTATTTCATGCTGCCCAGCTCCCGTCTGGAGTACAGTATGTTTGAATGTTGTGTGTGCCTTGCTGAATTACAAGAAAACATTGTCTTAATTGCTCGGTCTGCTATAAACACAGGCATCTGATATGCACCAAAGACTGTTTATATTGATTATCTAGGAAGGAAAATTTACATGAATTAAATCATGGTTGTTATTCATCATTAGTCTTGCATGCCCTATGTTGTGCAAATTATAAATATGTTTTACAATTTAGACCTAAGGACTGAGAAATACGTTGCATTTATCATTAGGAGATGCACAGGATGCATCTGTAACATACATTCACTACCACCAAGGGAGATTACTAAGGGCCTTCATACATTTGATATTCCATCACATCACTACAACTCCTCATCAGAATCCTAGGATACATCTATAATGGAATACAGTATGTACTCATTGCTAAATTAGTTAAATTAGTTAAAAAAACTAAAAGCCTATTATATGACAATAGGACTGAAAGTCTTTTAATTGCTGCACCTTAATTATCCAGTTCCTTTCCAATTATTTAATATCCTGCTTGTAATTGCAGCTAAAGTCTGTAAAATTAAAAGCCTCCCTCTTTCTTTTCAGTTCTTTTGAAATATCTTTTGAGACTAACTCGGTGTCAACAAAATTGAATAACGCTTAGAAAATCAAAGTATGTTAACAGTTGAGTGCTTTCAGCCAGAGAGTATCACGTTAACAGTGTGTGCCTCAATCCGTTTGCATTACCGTGTGTGCTTTGTGTTGAGTGTGTTATGAGTTTACACTTTTTTTTTCTGTTCACTAATCAAATGTAATTGCAGGCGCACTAACAGAAATGTTGGAAATGGTGAAATGTTAGAACGTTGGAAAAATGTCTCGGTGTGTCCAGCAGTGCACTGCTCCCCCTGAGAGGGTGTGTGCTAGGGAGCTGCCTCAGATGTTAACTACCCCGTTGGTGTTGCAGCAGCCAGCGAGCAATGAGAGGCGGGGGAGTCGGCCCCGCTCCATGGTCAGGTCCTTCACCATGCCTTCCTCCCAGAGACCCCTCTCCGTGGCATCGGTGACCTCCGTGTCTTCCGACAACTCGCCTTCCAGGCCAGGCTCAGATGGGTTTGTGGCTTCTCTTCTCTTTTTTTTTCAGATTTGCTCCCCTATGGAGCCTATTAAAGAACACGTTATGTTGAAGAAAGTAAGCTTTTATTTTAAGGACCTCCTCCCCTCCCCATTGAAATAAAAGACCTTAATTAATTGACACAGTGAGTTATGAAAGTCAAGCTTCAGAAAAATAGCTTTTACAGCAGATAGGTAATTTCTTTTTTCCTATATTTTAACTTCAAAGCCCAGGAAAGTACAAATTTTGCCTTGAACGATTTGCATAGGAGAGAGGTGTCCTAGTTTCTGTCATTTTTTTCAACTGGTAGCCTCAGACAAAGCACAATAGGTTACCATCGCTGACACAGAATCATTTTCTTAGTCCTTTGTCATATAGGTCACTGTCTCGGTAGTCCGTGATGCATTTCTTGAGAATACATATAGTTTTGTATGAACTCCCCTCTAGGCCCGTAACCTAGGGTCGGCATTATTTCAAGCAATAGCTGACATTTTTTTTTTTAAATAGCACAGAAAAAGTATTACAGTGGCTGGGGGGACTGGGGTCCTCTTCTCTCAGTTTTCACTTTCCATTGGGCCTAAAAACACAATAAAGGAAGAAAAACCAGCTTGTTTTGATCCTTTCAACTGGCAACCAGCAGGTCCACACATAAAATAATTTCACTTAAATGTGCATATCCTCCTGCCACGGACAAGATGCTGACCCCTGACTATTAGAGTTTTTCTGCTGTGGATTCAGCGCTGTCAGTCTTCTATTCATGCACTGCACTTTATTGGCAGATGTAACAGCTACCTGCCACAGCATTGCAATATTTCCAATGGATGATATTAACTATAATATAGAGAAAAGGCTTCAGGACACATTAATGTTACCCCAGCTAAAAGTAGTCCTTCAAAAGCCAATACAATGGAAGCATAAAATTAAATTACAAATCTTTGTTTGTAGCTGCTAGGCACTTTCCCTTTGACTTAATCATTCAAGTCTTTAATGGCCTAGCTTGTTAAAATCTATATACTGCCAATTAAGATTTCTGATATCTGGCTTATGAAAGGTTTATGACTACTTTGTATAATCAAAAGTGTCAGGAGCTCGGAGATTGCAAATACAGAGGAAGATTCATTACTGTATCTCATTAATGCACATTATTGGGATTTGAATTTGCATTCACATTGGCTCCTACACAGCTGAAGCCAAGAAAACAATAAATAGAATTTATCCATGACTGTGTTGCAGGTAGAATTTAAAATGACAAATCCTTTAGAAGTAATGTTTCACATTGCAATTTAAGATGTTCATAGCAAAGCTGAGAAGATTTTAAATTGCACCTTTACCATGTTTAAATTTCAAAAGATTTTGCAACCAAATGAAAGCAGCTGTACACCAATCTGCTGCACAATTTTACTTTGTACTCTCATCTTTTTAGCAACAAAGACACCCAGTATGTATGCTATTGTGTTCTTTTTTAACACAATATTGCTTGAATCATTGCATGAATTAATTGGCCCCTAATGCACATAGACTGGAAGACAAGTTGAAGAGGGCACATTTCTTTGTGTAGATGTTTTTTAAGAGCTACAACTGTTCAGGCAAAACAAAAGCAAAGAAAAGCAAAGCGAAAGCAAAGCAAAAACCTATTTTGTGATTACAGTTTTAACAATGGCCAGTCAGATAAAGATGTATCTTCCAGATTTTGTATCTTGAAAGTTTAATATTTTATGTATTAAAATATAATAATTAAATATGATAATAATAATATTTTAATTTAGCTTGTGGGTGGGAGAAACAATCTGATCAGATTATGGTATTTTATTGAATGTGGTCATGTCCATTTCTACTGCACATGCAAAATACATGAGGAAATATAATTTTAAATAATCTGAAAACCTAAATTTGAAGTTACTGTAAAACATCACGGAGTATTGATCAAGCAAAAACCTGCTTTGTGGTTACAGTTTAAATAACAGTGGGCGAGCAAAGATGCAAGCAATGTCTTCTTCTTGCCTTCATCTTTGATGTTTTTGAATGTTTGCTGTAGACAGCAATGGTATGAATTGCCATCTAATGGGAAGTGTGAGTCATTACATCATGCCATGCTCGAGTTGGTTAGTGTTGAGCAAACCATGAATTGACTTTGGAGAACATTAGTCCCTTGGGATAGTAAAAATGTTTTCATTTTTTCAGTGTAAAGCTGAAAAGAGATCATCTTAGATCATCAGGACACCTTCTCAGCACAGGATTGTATCAGAGTTGTCAGTTTTTGTTATTGTTAAATGAATAAAAATATATTAATATAAATAAACATTTTTTTCAAGTAAAATCAAAACTGTTAATAAAACCACCTGCTCTTATGCACCTCTGTTAATTAATCCCAGCAATATTTTATGTTTTCAATCCACTATATTCAGACATGTATTTTTTTTTTGCTGTTTCAGTGGCTTCAGAAATCTTTGCTCATGCTGTTGCCTAAATTATGTATGATAGAAACTGTGGACCTTACTTCAGATGATAGATTTAAGGTGTTGAACTTGGGAAAAAAGTGAATAGTTAAGATTTATAAATTAGTTTGTTTTTAATGTTTTGCACTCCACAATAAATGGCTATCAAGAAAGAGTTTTTTCACATTTCTGGTTCGATTACTGCAAAAATGTTGAATAATTTTATCTTATTTATTGTTTTTTGTAAATGGTATCTAAATTGTTTTTGGAAATCGGCGCTGACAATATAAAATCTTATTGGTCTGTGCTTTTATTTGCATTACCTAAATACAATAACTTTAATACTTATTTGTGACAAACTTTATCACCTCCCCTTCTTTTTTGGCCTTCAGATTCACATTAGAGCCTCTTTTGCCAAAGAAACTCCATTCAAAGTCCCAGGATAAACTAGACAGAGAAGAGCCTGACAAGGAGAAGAAGGAGAAGAAGAAGGAGAAGAGGAACAGTAAACACCAGGAGCTGTTTGACAAGGAATTTAAAGCTGCAGATATCCCACAGCAGCCTACAGAGGCTGTCATTCTGTCTGAAACGGTGAGTCTGCATCTTCGGGCACCACTATGTTGCATACCCTTCCAACTAATGGATGGAGGTGCTTCCAACTATTTTTATTTGTCCCTTTGCTCCACAGTGCATTTATTCCTCTGCTTCTAGTGTTAAAACAAAGAAATCAAACAGGCTTTTTATGAAAGTTGGAATGAAGTGTCTATAACAGCTTTGCTTTTTTATTAGCGCATTTACTTTGCTAAAAGCCACTATTAGATGATAAGTGTAAACGCAAGTTACTTAGTCCCTATGAACACATAAAAATGCATAGAAACACCTTATGCTTGAATATGTTTATGCTTAAAGAAAATGTATAAAACGTTTATCAAAATATATATGCATATCAGTTTATTTTCCCCTGAACTGAAATCTTGCCTTCAAATAATTTAATTGCAATGTAGGTGTTATTTGTTAAAGGTGAATTTTTTGGATGATAATGTTCACTTTAGATTGTTTACTGCCTCTTAGTACTGGGTCTCTGGGTTCAATTCCTTGGGTACTACCAGTGTGATGTTTGGATGTAAAATTGCCCCTGGTGTGCATGTGTCCATGTTTGTGTCTGTGTGTGCTCTATGATGGACTAGTATCCCATTCAGGATGTATCCTGCCTAGTGCCCAGTGCTTTCTGGGATAGGCTCTGGGCCACCATAAGCGGCTATTGAAAGGAATGTGATGATGATCATTTTAGGAAATGAAAGCTTCCAATTCAGCTCCTCTCACTTTAGGATTGTGTGACATCAGCATAGTGCTGTTCTTCTCTGCAGGCAGTGTCATACAGCAGCATAAAGGAGGATTTCTCTTTCTCAGATATGGGAAAAGTGGCCAAATGAGCTACTAACATCTCATAACACATATCATTCTAAGAAGTGGCAGTGAAGCTTAATTTAATGTAGTGTTCTGTATCTGGAATGAGGTCTGTGAAAATAATTTCAATTAGTAATAAAGATGATCTTTATTAAAGCCAAATTTCATTTTGAATGAGTGAGCAGCCAGGAGAAGATGAATATCCTCTGAGTTCCTCAGCAGGGTATATTATCTGTTCTCGCTGTGCTTGGAGGTTTTTTGTTATTTACATCTCTTTCTTAATTTCCAGATCAGTCCGCTCAGACCTCAGAGACCAAAGAGTCAGGTGATCAATGCGATAACTGGGGACCGACGCTTCTCTGTTTCTCCGGGGTCCTCTTCCTCCTCCTCTGTCCCCCCTCCTATCACCCCCCGGGCCAAGCTGTCCTTCAGCATGCTGACAGGTTCCAGTAAGTACCACTCAAGAGACAGGCACCTGCTGCCACGCCACACTGCTGAGCTCAGAGTCAGCACTTCATAAACACACAAGTCCTCCACAGTGGGCACAGCGGTTCTGTTGAAAACTTTTACATCAGATTTTGAAGAAATCCAATCAGGATGAAATGCAAATAAAGAGCTCTTCGTCACAAGAAGAGATGGCCCTTGCTGTGGAATCATATAGTACCAGACAACTACTTGAACCTGAATTTCCCATTGTTGTTGAGTTTTTAAAATAAAGATGACATTATCATACGCCTTCAGACTAAGGGCTACTGTTTATGTAGAAAGGGTACATGTTGACAAAAGAAACATGAGATCAGTATCATGTGTAAATTAAATGACTCATCAAAAAAAAGCTATGATGACTTGTTTTTTATTTTGGGGGCTTTGTGTGTCTACATTTTTTTGTATGTTGTGTATATAGATGTTGGAAAAAAGCTTTGCTGGCGCTGTGAGTGTCATAAAAGTTAGTGATATTTTTTTTTGTCTTTGGACCTTGCTTAGTGGCATTTGTTTTCTAGAACATGTCATATCAGGTTTTCAAATCCAGCACCGCTCAGCTGAATGCCTGTGTAGTTCTGTCATATATATACAGTACAATGCTGAAAGCTCAGTCCCTCCTCTGGGGAGAAGACTTATGAATCAAACAACACATTCCAGAACAGACAAATCCAAGGGAGCAAGTCAAAGTAGTTAATTTGTAGGGAACACTTCAGGCATATACCCTACCTGCTGAAAGAGGTTTGAAGTAAAGAACAAAATGTGCAGGCAAGCTAGGAAGATAAGAAATAAAATAACTCTATAACTGGAATGTTTTCTGTTTTATATTTTGGGAATCAATTGGAATTTCATGCAATGTGTTTTTTGGAATTGTGTAAGTGCAAATAGCTATAAATGCCCCCCACCCAAAACATGTTCTGTTGATTGCAGGTATCGAGCTAAATGGCATGGGCTACCCTGAGAAAGGAGAAACCCCTCCTCCTCTGCCGCTGAAAGGCAGCACAGCAGATTATGGAAATCTGGTGGATAATCAAGACTTGACAAGTCCGACTACTCCTCCACCTCCTCCACCACATCAAAGGGTAAGTGTTGTTAATTAGGCGTAGAATGACTTCTTTAATGATGCAGGGCATTTCTAGTGGAATGTAAACTGACATACAAGATACAGCTTTGGAATGTGACACAGTTTGTAATTCCCCCTTTGTGAAAATTAAAAGGGAAAAAAAAAACATTTTAGGACTGAAATGTTAAAGTTGCCCCCACCATAACCATGCAATGTAGGTACAGAAATGTTATTTATATAAGGCTGCTCAAGTGCAGTAGTTCCCTCAGGTGATTGATGGGATGATTACTTTACCTTTCACATCACTCAGGAGCTTCCCAGTGTTAATCAGTATATTTGCTACTGATTCCTGATAAGGAAGAGACAGGAGCTTTTTTTTCTTTGCCACTCAGTTAACTAATCTTATTTATATCCTTTCACAAACTACAGACAGGTAGTAAAATAGAACCTGCAAAGATAAGCATATCCTTCTTTCGAACTGGATCGAGTACTTGGCACTACAGTTTGTAGCACCTTACGTCATACATTAAATTGTTTTTTATGCAGCCCAATTTTGAAAAGGTTCGCTTAATTTGAAATGTCCTCCTGCTCGGTCCTCTGGTTTACTTTTCTGCATTTAGAATTTCCAAGTAAGATTAAATTATCTGAAGGCTGATGAGTCAAAAGTCTATACATAAGCCTGCATAACATAAAACACCTGTTGAAATCTAGGAGAATCAGAATACTGTGCAAACTTTGCAGCTGAATAGGAAACTATTCCAGAGAGACAGCAATTTCAGTATCAAAACCACTAAAGTATCCTCTTCCTCAGAGTACAGTTGTAAACCTGTTCGGCTGTCAGCTCTATTTATGCAAGTCTCATCATTCAGTTTGATTTGAACATAAGTATGCACATTTTGTGCAGCAGAACAAATTACACCAACATTGTGCCTGTTGTGTGACTGCTGGAATGTCATACCTTTGTCTTGATGTATATTGTTTGGTTTTTGGTGCCTTTGTAACATCATCCCAGAGTACAGGTTAAACATATTCTTTGCTTTGTGAAGAAAAGCCTAGGTTGGAAAATTAACATGATTATATTTTTATTATTGTAGCATCTTCCTCCTCCACTACCCAGCAAGACCCCTCCTCCTCCTCCACCTAAGACAACGAGGAAACAAACATCAATTGACTCGGGAACTGTACAGTGAACAAGCACAGAAAAAGATTAAGATTCCCCAAAGACTGAGCTGTAATATATCCTTCTGCTGTTTTTTTTTTCCTTCACAGCTTGAAAAATGAATACCTCATTCAGGCCTTTACAGATTTTTTTTTTCCTTTAGTGTGATGATGCTGTCAGTCATAGGGAATTTCTCCTGTTGCACAGATTATTAATCAAGTCTTCAACTGCTGAGTTGTTGATACTAATGCATACTAAATGAGTTATTGTTTTGCTTTTTCACTCTGATAAAAAATGAATGTTACAGGTTTTTATCATATCTGTATGAGGGGAGGGGATTTGGATTTGACTGAATTATAAGTGAACATTGGATTTTGCAGAAGCTACTACTTAGCCCAAATAATGTAATGTACAGAGGTTTGTATATATGATTTTAAGCCTTTTTAACACATTTTCTGATACCCCTTTTCAGAATAACACTGCATTAGAGACATAGGCAAATAAACAGAAAAGGGCTTTTAGATTTTAAAATGACAGGGACTGTAAAGTATCTTTGAGTATCTTTTATATAAACATTATTTAATAGCTTGGAAATAATGGGTGTTGGAGTGTATACAACTAACTTTTTTCAGCTGTTCTTATTATCATTGTATATGATATGTAATAGAAAGCTATAACCTTGGATTAGAATAACATTGACAATTTCAGATTCACTACTGACTTTGGAATAAACTTTTAAAGTGTATTTTTAAAATGGTTGTTTGCCTTTTTCCTTTTCATAGTACATGTCAAATTACTGCCAATAAATCATGGATGGTATATTAATATATGAGCATAAATGTATGCTCATACAGGTATATACAGTAAGCGATGTTAGATGTACTATATAGTATATTCTTTCAAAACGATGATGAATGTCTTGCCCTGTGGTAGCTTCTTCAACAACTCATACAAGATCTTCACATTAAGAAACATATTAGAATTAAACTAAACATGTTTGATTTTAGTAAATTGACTAAAAAAACTGCAAACTGTATGTTAGCTATATGGTAAGTTTCTAAAAGGCTTTTATGTTACATATGATGCGTCATGTTCCGCATTATGTAATGACTTGTATTGACACATTATAAATTAAATATTTAATTTACTGCAGGACCAGTATGTTAAAACCAAGAGCTCTCTCAACCTCATTTTTTTCATTTATGTTTTTGCCTGAGAAAAAACTGCTGCAGCCATTAAAACAATTTCCTCTGTCTCCCTCCCTGCGTGTGCCTTGTTTATTCCATCACACGCAAGAGGTGATTCAAAAAGCAAAAAAAAACAAAATTACTTGCCTGGTTTTAGAGTATTTTTCTCCTTTTCCTTTGTTCCCTACAAATAAACGCCTTCTTGGAACTCAAAGACCTTTTTTGCATTGTATTTACCTTGTTTCCTCAATTAAACTCTCCTAAAGTATTTTTTTCAGAAGAGAGAAATAATGGAAACCCATGTTAAAAAATTCAATCCTCAAATGTCCTTCCACACACATGGGCTGCTGTTATTTCTTTGCAACGCTTGTTTGACACACCCTTACCAGCTCCCACATGGCTCTCCTCTGTGCCTGCTGCAGTTACAAGCTCCGTGGTAAGTACAGACCGTGGCAGGGTGACAGGCTGAAGGGCATGAGCTTCTCTATCTACATCAGCCTCGTCTGGCAGAGCCTGCAGTCCATTAGTTTATTTTACTCCTAAAAGGTTATAAATAGAACACAAACTGCCCATGCTCTGTTGCTTTATTTCTCCTTAAAGCCATTCAGGTGATGGACAATTTCAAATGTCTCCTACAAAGTGCACAAGCAGAATAGCACTGCTGTGAAGGTTAATGTGTCAGCCGAACAGTACTGTGTAGAAAATATCTAGTACACAAGTGAAAGGTGAAAGTATATTGGGTTTACTGAATTCATTGTTCAGGTACATCTGTTCCCAAAAATGACAAGGCAGTGACAGCTTTGGCGTTTTATTGTTTAAGAACCTGTGTATACCTGTGTAATTACTTAAAGTCATTATTCTGCATGATTCACACAACAGGGAAAAAAAGGGATGCAAGTTTGATAGAAATTGTGACCAGTTCTGGATGTTTTTTCTATTAAATCTGTATTTGGATTCAGGTCTGCAGTTCTGTTTTTTCATGCTTTTTTTTTCCTTTTGGAGTGGAACAGTAGCATGACACCAGTTCTGCCTCACAGCACTCAGGTCCCAGGCTTGATTCAAAGCTAGGGTGCCTTCAGTGTACTGCATGTTCTTCCCAGGTTGTAGTCTTGCTTTGTGCCCTTTGTATCCGGGATATGCTAAGGCTCACTATGTCCCTTTCCAGGAATACGAACGGATGGATTTTTTAAAGAACTAGTAATAAAAAATCTGATTAGAATATTTTTGTATAAGCAATGCACTTCCTTCCTGCTAGGCTTGTGGAATTCCATTTTGCATACCATAAACAGACAAGATATTTATTAGCATTCCCTGCTGTTCCTCAACACATGCTGGGCTATCTCTGGTGATCCTTGCAGCCTCCAGAGTTTGACACACCAGCTATGAAGGATTGATTTCTGTAATCTCAGTGCTTAGTCTGTCACGCTGAACCATATCTTGCCGTCTTTAAAGGAGAAAGATTTGCTGTAGCAATGGGGGTGTTTTGTGTGAAGGGCCTCAGGTGCTGTCTTATCTCATTGTTCTTCCTGAGCAGTTTGTTCTCAGGAGCCAGTCATATCACTGGACGACATTAACAGCAGGAAAAAGCAAAAGTGCAACAGATGATTTCATCATGCACAAATAAATAGCATGCAATAAATGACCAATTCAAAGAAAAATCTACAGTAGGCATGGGTGAAAAATGATTAAATATGCAGCTTTATTAAATAGGAATAGCTTTATATTTTTCATATTAACCCTGCTGTCACAATTCCCAGTTAACAATGAAAAGTAGAAAAAAATGTCGTGCTGTTCAAGTTATACTAATAGGCCGATTTCAATGGGATTTTTTTATTTTTCAGCCTTTTTTCTGAATTTTGTTCTGCAATAGGATAATTAACAAATCATTTATAACAGGTACTCCTGAAGCTGCTTGAAAAAAAAATACTATTTGGTATTTAATTATTTTTATGAATAGAATTTAGAAATGGTAACAGCTTAAATACATGCAGTAGAATAAATACAAGTGTTACCACCATTTTTTCCACAGTATCAAACCTCATTGCACTTTTTAATAAGTTTGAATCTAAAAAAACAAGACCCAAACAGAGCCAAGCATCCTGATGTTATGCCTGATGATAATACATCTGTTGATCCTTTAAACAAATCCATCCATTCATAACGCTTTATTCAGCACATGCTCATGGTTAAGCCAAAGTCTATCCTAGCTAGCAACCCCACAAGGCAGAATTCACCCTGGACAAGACAGAAGTCCATCACTGACCATGCAGAGACATGTAAATACTCACACTAGGGCCAAATTGAGAAGAAGCCAATGTCTTTGGACTGTGAAAAGAAACCTACGCAAACACAGGAAGAACTTATAAAATCCAAACAGAAAGCAACTCACACCCAGATTTGAACCCAGGGCACCAGTGCTGTTAGGCAGCAATGCTTATTTTACCTGTCAAACTCAAAAACAACTGAAACATTCCCAAAAGGCTAAATTTTATTGGTACTGTACATCATACTTCAGCATTTCAAGCTGTATTCAAAAGCAATTTCATCTACCATCCAAATCATCTTGTTACCTTTGAATTAGAATTTGTTGGTGGGACTAAACCACTCTGTCATATTCACAATTAACCTATGATGAAAGTTACAGGTTTCACACACACACGTAAGACTTAATAAGTAAAACATCCCTTCTCCAGCTAAAGAGAGGTTTAATGGCCATACCCTGCATAGTCTCCCCATTCTAATTTATGAAAAGCAAAGACGGATGTGTCTACTACTTCACCCTTTGAAGTTGGCTCAAATAATTATTGCAAAAAAGCAAGACTTCAGGGTATAGTAGAAAAGAGTCCAGCACTGGCTTTTTAACCTGCTTACTTTAGCTTCGTGTTTGCTATAGACCACTTCAACAATACTAGAAGACAGTCAATGAAAAGGAAAAGGTCAGATGAGGTTAGACCTCCTAAAACACTTGGGTCCTCACAACCTTTACTCTCCCAGGAAGCCCAGAAATCTTCCTGGGATATTCAACTGTGGAGATGATTCATAAGTGGACACTGCCTAGCAACATCAAAATGCTACAGAAACTGTACTGAAATCCCATCATGTTATGCACAGCTTTATTTTAATGTACAATTCAGTGGAGTTTGCACTGTGTCCTAAGAATGAGGTAAAACCTGCATTTAAAGAAATAAAGCTCACAGTAGTGAGCTGAAATATATTTTTACTATTTACACATGAAATTAACAGAAATATTCAATTATTTTTTCAGACTAAACATAATTGCAAAGTATATATATATTAATAAGTACAGTATATATAATTATATATATTCATATATTTACTTATATTAAATGCAAAGTAGATATATTTATGTAAATGAAAAGTAAATTTGTTCCTTGTATATAAACTGTATACTGTATATGTAAAATCTTTCAAGATAATTTCCTTCAAAGAAAAGAGAAATTTCTCATTTGGAGTTGATAAGATTATCCTCAGCACCTTACATAGTAATGTGCACATCACAAGACAGTTTTACAATTTTTATACATTAATCTAAGCATTGCAGAACTGAAAATCCAAATAATGTAAGCAACTTATTTGATAAGCTATAGATACTATGCTAACAATGCATAATGATAAGCTATGGCACACCCCTACTGCCCTGAGTTTTTTTTTTAAACTTTAATAGCCAATTTAATTCTGCGATTGTCAAAAAGGAAGACTGCCTTCTTACTGCATGCAAAATGTATTTACTTCAGACATACTAAATGCAAATTTCTCTATGAGTTCTCTCATTTTTATGCGTCAAATAAGTCAAAGACTCTAAAGTGGTTCCAGGTGCACATAATCAAAGACCTGTTAAGCTTGACTTTTTCCAATTGTACCTGGCAGATAGACATTGAATAGGGTCTTTCTAGTGTGTTGCAAAGTGGTAGCACAGATGCTTGCTTTAAAAGAATTTCAGTCAGGAGAAAAAAAAAGTCAATGTTAACCTTCATCAGTGAACATCTTAAGGATGTTTAAGCAAAGAATTGAGTTTAAATGTAATCTTGTTTGTCCTATTTCAGTGCATAAAAAGATACAAATGCTGGATTTTGAGCTATCCAATAGTGATAGCTTAGTGCTGAAGTAACTGCAGTTGACAGTGTGTGTGTGCAAGGCACACCAGTTTATTTAGTAAGATTCCTTTCTAATACTTTATCCTGAGTGTGATTTAAAGTCCCACAGCTGTATTTTCATTTCAGTTTTTGGCAAAATATTATTGATCTCCTGATGCATCTGGTAAAACATCTGGTCAGAACTTACAGGATATAAATTTGTTTTATTGTGATCTGTATGTAAAATTAAACATTGTAAGGAGAGCAGGAGAGCTTTTTACCTGCACACTCTTCACAGATCCTTTAGTTGTTTTGGGTCCAACCACAACCCTGTGGCTGGTTTACTTTTGATGGTGCACTGAGCTGCAACACAGTGTAAATGCCTTTGAACATAAAATAATGAAGCAAAATTGATGAAGGAAAGTGTACCCAGAAGAAGGTTACAGTATCTGTAATAGGAAACTGAAGGCCATGGAATATCAGAAGACTTTAAGGCTGCATTTGCTGACAACTGAAGAGGTACAGTAGTTTGCTTTAGGGGGCAATTTTAAAAGCATTTTTCTGTTAGCAGAGGTGAAATAAAAAACTGAATCAAAAACTTGAAAGTATCTCCATGTGTGTTGCTGCTTAAGCTGTTGAACTATAAAAGCTTGTTATCAGCCTGATATCTCAATCTTAAAGGAGACTCTACCCCAAGGCTGCCTTCAAAAACAGAGACAGTCAAAAAGCAGTCTAGGTGGTAAGATGCTTTCTCCTCTCTGAGATGTGTTTTATTAGCCCCTTTTCCTTTTTTCTGTAATGAGCTCCTGTTTGTTTTTCAGTTTCTGTTTTTATTTGTTGTATTTTGTTGTTTTGTTCTGTTCTGCTTCGGAAATAAATAAATGCTCAAAAAGAACACCCAAAGAGATATGCATAGAGGACATTTCAAAATCATGATCCTGCAGATTGGTGAGGAAAAAAATGATGTACAGTAA